GCTTAAGACATAAAAGGTGAGATATATTTTGACATATGAGATTATTTCTGCCTCCTTTTAGGAACATGTTCCATTCTGTACTCTGAAAAAATACAATGCTTTGAACCTACCTCTCTTATCCAGTATTTTGTGCCACCATTATTTTTTTTAACTATACCACTATTCATGTAAAAAGTTTTTCAACTCCCCAAACAGAAATGCTGCCTATAGTTCAGTTCTTCATTTCCTACTATTTCTCTTCCCTTCTCCCTTTCCTTCTCCTTCTCCCTCTCCCTCCCTCTTCTTCCTCTTCTGTTGGATAGGGATATCATGCTTGGAAAGGTAGAAGGTCAGTGATAGAAAAGAAAACCCTCACTGAGATGGACTGACCAGTGACTGCTGAAATGGGCTCCGGTGTGTTAGAGACGTTGAGGATGGCACAGGATAGGGCAGGGTTTGGATCTGTTGTTCAGAGGATCGCTATGTGTCATACTCCACTCAATGGTACTTAACAAGAAGAAAAAGAATTTATAGTTACAAGGCAGCTTTTTTATTTTGAATAAAGGTTCACAGATCTAACTACTATTTAACTACTATTGTAGCTAAAACAGAAGATTTGATGAAATTGGTGACTATAAAAATTCTAGAAGCAATGAAAACAGCAGTGTGCACTTGTAACACGCAGACAAAACCACGTGGTTCTAAGCATCCTTGCAAATTGAGTAATAACAACAGGACTGACTAGCGCATGTTGGAAAGTTCGAGACATCCACTAGCATAGGATTTTTGTGTTGTCTGTTAACATATGCACGTTACTCTACAAATATACACATAAACGCTTACAAAAATGTTCTATCATAAATAAGCATAGAAACATTTTTCTAAAGAATAAATTTCTGCTGAAACACTGTACACAGTTCTACAGACAGTCATTCTGGTATCACTCCCTCTGATGGTGCCCCCGTAAGGTCTTCTTTCCTGCATTCGGGTATTGATAGCGCTGCAGCAGTGGGTGGGCCTCCCGGAATGCTCATCTCAGATCTAATGCCCTGTGGTTTTGAATATTATTAGGCTGGTCAGAAGACAATGCCACTCCTCCTCCATGGCCAGCACCCCAGGCAAGCAGTCCAAATGGCAACAGCCCTGCTGTGAAAGGTAATGCTTCATTCACCTCAAATGTCAGGGGTCTACCTTTCCCACTTCTTTTCTGCATTTCTCTACTCCTACCTTCCATTTCAGCACCTCAGGCTCTAAGCAAGGGCTGCAGGTAGAGATGGGAGGGGCTGTTTTAGTTTGTCTTATGTTATTATGGTAAAAGTATTTATAACAGCATTGCCCAGTCAGCATCTTTTGCACAGATACAATCCAGTGTTGCTGATTGCATTAATGATATGAGGTAGGAAGGTTTACATTCTGCTAGAAATTGCATAAGGTTCCTTGGCAGTATAACAGCTAAGTGTGTGGGTGTTAACCAAAAGGTTAGCAGCTCAAATCCACCAAATCTCTCTGCAGATAAGGCTTGGAGATGTGTTCCAATAAAGATCAAAGCCTAGAAGACACTGTAGGGGTAGTTCTGCTCTGTCATGTGAGTTCTCTTTGAGTACAAAATACATCTGATGGTGGTTTATATATACAGAATTACATTCTGGCATTCTTGTCTGACTGAATGTTCTAATCCTTATCCCTCTTTATCGAACTGCATCTCTTGAGCATAAATTAAATATCTGTCTCATTGAAACTAGATTCTTTCTAGAATATCAAGTGAAAACAGCAGCATGGGAAAGACCACTTTGATTTTCTGCCTTTAACCAAGTAAGGCATTTAGTTCATGCTCCTCAGAAGATACCAGATTTCTTGGTTGTCAGAAGAGGTCCTTTCAAGCTTGTGAGATATGTTGTCTTCTGGGTGGGGCCCCAAAGAGAACATCTGCTCCATTGAAGCTCTAATCTGCCTCTGTAGCTCTATCTTTGTTCCTCTGGTCAGCACCCACTTTCCCTTGGCTGGCGGGAGGAAGTGTCTCTGTCATTATCATCAAAAAGCATACAGAAGATGCGCTTTTGAAGCTTGTGCAAATGAGTTGCACCTGGTGTTTGTTCCATCAACAGAGACCTGGGATTGGGAGGGTTACCCCAAAATATAGTCACCTGGCTCGTCCTGTTGGCAAGACCACTCATGTCTCTGGATCTTCCAAGACCTTTGCAGTTTCGAGGAGGAAGAGGAAGTGAGCATGTCACTTTTTTTTAACTGCAGCTGTTTTTAAGAGATATTGATCTCTTCTGTCAAGTGCAGAGATAGACTAATGCACCAAAATCAGCCTTGCCCCATACAGCTTCCTGATGTGGCCTCTACATGACAAAAGAAAGACTAAGCTGTATTTAGCTCTCCCAAGTCTCAGGTTATATAACACTAAATCTGGTGTTTTGAGAGCTAGGCTAACTGCACAGTGAATTCAATTAATGTTATACCTCACATAATACCAGCTGGTCTTATGCTTGGTGTTAGGTACCTTTGAGTCTGGATGGACTCATAGCTCACCCTCCAGAAGGTTTTTAGAGGCTGTAAATTGCACAGGAAAAGATTGCCCATATTTTTCCCTCAGAGCACTTGGTGGAATTGAACTGCATGCCTTTGGGTGGGCAGGCGAGCTCCTTACCCATTTTTATCTCTGTAAGTAAGATAACACTGATTATCTGATTGTAAAAGTAATACATCTATAAGAGCAGATTCTTTCCATTTATTTTTAAAGACAGAAGGAGAATGTTGTGTCCTTATGTGCCTTCGACCCTATGTACAACAGCCCTAAACTCTGCTCTATCCTGTGCCAGTCACACTGCCTCTGACACACCCATCCCGATTACCCCAGTCACTGAATCAATCCATCTCATAGAGGGTCTTCCCCTCCTGCGCTGTCCCTCCACTCTCCCAAGCATGATGTCCCTCTCCAAGGACCTGTCCCTCCTTGCAACATGTCCAAAGTATGTCAGATGAAGCCCCAGAATCCTTGCCTCCAAGGAGCAGCCTGTTTTAACCCTCCCCAGGATGAATGTTTGTTTTCTTGGCAGTCCATGGTATATTCAGTACTCTTCTCCAGCATCACAGCTCAAAGGCATCAATTCTCCTTCTCTCCTCCCTAGTCACTGTCCAACTCTTAATTGCAAAGACCATAGCCTGTATCAGATGCACCTTAGTCTCCAGAGTGACACCATTGCTCTTCAGTACCCTGAAGAGATCCCTAACAGCAGACTTTCCCATCACAATACTTTTTTTTATTTCCTGGCTGCTGGTGCCAAGAGTGTTGATCATGGAGCCAATCAAACTAAAGTTGTTAACAATCTCAATCTCTTCTCCATCCCTCCTGATGATGCTAATTGGTCCAGTGGTGAGAATCTTTGTCTTCTTGACATTAAGCCTCAATCCATACTGAAGGCTATAGTCCTTAACCCTCTGCAACAAATGCATCAGGTCCTCCTCAGTTTCAGCAAGCAGGGTTTTGTCATCTGCATAATGCAGATTGTTAATAGATCTTCCACCAATCCTGACGCCACACTTCTCCTCATAGAGCCCACCCTCTCGGATAATCTGTTCTAATTGGTACACTGCTTTAACATTTATGTGGCCTTTTAAAAACTGAAGGTTTATAAGGCCCTGTTTATATTAGCATAATCACACCAATACAACCACTCTTAGCAACTTGTATCACTAATGCTTTTTTAGACTCTTTCTGGACAGCTGGCAAACACCTTCCTAGCAGCTGTCCACTAGAAGATAACCTGTCAGAGAGCCATTTGCTTCACACTTCCAACACTCCCACCTGTTGGAGGAAAACATCATAATAAGGGGTCATGTTAGCCAGTGAACTTAGATTCTCATGTGGAATGGTTTATATACACACATTCAAAAATGCTTCCTACCTATTTAGCAATCACTTGCATCAGGTGCTCTTTTGAAGATGTAGATGTTCTCTTCATCTCAAAATGATTCGGTTCTGTAACCATGGTATCCAGGAAGTCAGGGCAGGTGGCTCAGGGTGAGAACAGCCAGAGGGAGGATTCCTCTGTGGGTTAGAGCCCATGGAAGGAGGCATGCCAAGGGCCCTGAGTTAGAGCCCATGGAAGGAGGCATGCCAAGGGCCTCTGTGGGTTAGAGCTCATGGGAGGAGGCATGCCAAGGGCCTCTATGGGTTAGAGTCCATGGGAGGAGGCATGCCAAGGACCTGTTGGTTAGAACCCATGGGAGGCATGCCAAGTGCCTCTATGGGTTAGAGTCTGTGGCAGGAGGTAGGTCAAGGGCCTCTGTGGGTTACAGTCTGTGGCAGGAGGCAGGCCAAAGGCCCTAGGTTAGAGCCCATGTGAAGAGACCTGCCAAGGACCTCAGTGCGTTAGAGCCTGTGGGAGGAGGCAGGCCAAGGGCCCTGAGTTAGAGCCCATAGAAGGAGGCATGAAAAGGGCTGCCTTCCTTTCATGAGAGAAAGTTACCTTGTTAGCAGTGACCTTGCTAGAAGAGAAGCCCAGGCCTGCCCTTGTTACTTTGGAAGGTGAAAAGAGAGACCACAGCATTTCTAATGACCTAGCAAATTTGAAAATATTACTAGACACCAGAAGGTACCTCATTCCTCAGCCATTCAGTAGGCTTTGTGAAATAACTGATATTTCCTGGTTGCAGTGAAGTGACAGAATCTGAGGTTTTGAGCAGCTCTGGGATGTGGCCATCAGGTGGGGCGGGTTGGAGGCTGAGAGCCACAGGAGAGCAGGAAATAAGAACTTGTCTAGGTTGGCTGGGTTAGTTAAGGGAACAGCCCGTTCTCCACTGAGCTGGGTAGATCATTCCCTGCATTAGAGATGTTTATCCATGTTTATCAGACCAGGAATGTATCAGATTCCCTACTGTTAGACAGAGACCAAGAAGGATGGGATTTTTCTGATAGAAATCTCCCTTTTCAAGACGGCCCCTGACCTGAGTGCATCCAACAAATCAGAACACTTGGAAGGTAGGTTTGCTGATGTTTCCTCTTCTCTCTGCAGAGCCTGCCAAGGCTGCCTCGGATCTGACTGCCTGGTTCAGCCTCTTTGCTGACCTTGACCCTTTATCAAATCCTGATGCTGTTGGAAAAACTGATAAAGAACACGAATTGCTCAATGCATGAGTCTGCAGCCTCCAGGAGCAGCGGACACCCGTGCCGATCTTCAGCAACACCACGGGGTTTAGCACAAGTATAAAGTGATCAGTATACTGTTTTAACATTTACGTGCCATTTTAATAAAATCAAAGGGTCAGAGGCCCTGTTTATATTGGTATTATTTACTCTTATTTGGTATAATGAGTTTTAGTGTATTCTTTCTGGAGATATAAATAATACAGAGTTACCCAGGAGTGGCTTCCAGTCAGGTCATTCTCTGGATGATGCCCCCTCAGTGGGCTACGGGGAGAGCCAAATTCAGATCATAAGCTCCTTTGTCACGGTTTACCTGAGTAATCATACAGCCTCAGGTGGTAGGAAGTTAGCACAGAAATGCAGTCCCTGCCCCTGCCTCCCACGGAGGGGCTTCTGGCTGTCCTCTCTTCCTGCCGCATCACATCCCAGTGAGCTTTGGCCGACCAAAGACACTGTCCCCACAGCCTGAGCCCGGGGGACCCCAGGTTCACTCGTGGAGGACGTGGGCTTCTCTCTGCTGCACGAGCCTCTCTGTGGAAAGCCGCCATAGTTGCGAAAACTAGTGTCTCCTGTGGCCCTCTCTGAGGCTGGAATTCAAAAGCATGCATTTCTGGAGCACCTGTGACATTAATTGGTTGGTTGTTTAGTTTGTTTCTTTTTTAATTAAACAAAAAGTATTTGACATGGTCAAGTTAATGAGTCTGTTGTGCTGAAGGAGGTACACTGGGGAGGGGCCCGGGGGGGGGACCAAAGGGAGTACTGAGCTTTGGGGCCACTGAGGTAACCCTCTGCATCTTCCTAACCCTGCTCCTTTCTCAGGCACTGCCTCAGACCACCCCTCCTCCATGGGCATCTCAGATAGAGGGGAGAGCGGGCATGGGGGTGGGAAGGAAAGATGGGGGGCTTTGGTTTGATCAAGCAGTGAGGATAGGTGAAGTGGTTTTGCATTTGGGTGTCTAAGTGTCTCAGACATTCCTCCAGGGCTGAGTTAGAGCCTAGAGCCGGCAGCTTTACCCTCCTTGCCATACCACCCCTGTGTCACTGAAGACATGCTGAATGGGGGTGTGATTGACAGTCTCTCAGAATAAAGTCTAAATGCTCCTGCAAGGTCCCTCCTGGACTCCTCAGGCCACAGACCCTGAAAGGGTCACCTGCAATCACTTCTGAGTCCTCCCTGGGATCGCTGAGCTGCGCCAGCTGCCTTCAGTGCTGCCCTCCAGGAAGGCCTGGACACAGCAGTTCCTGCTATCCTCTCTCCAAGGCACCTGGAGGGCTGGAGGCCAGGGCAGTTAGCTGCGTTCTCAAACTCTGCTTAAGAAAGAATTCTGCAAGTGAAAGGGGCTAGTGACTCCACATACATCACTGCCAGACACAACACTGGCTTTCTGGAAATCCTCCTTTGGTAGGGTCTCAGTTGTTTAGGTTTTAGGAACTGAGAAAATTATTTTCGTGGTGATTGAAGGAGTGAAGATATGGTTCTACCTTGATCCAGCCACGAATGCAGATGCCTAGGATTGATGGCTGTCTTCAAGTCTTGAGTTGCAGTACTCAAGAAAGAAACTGTAGGCACAATCTTGAATGATCCAAGAAGCATCAAAAGAAGATGGAAGGAACACCCAGAGTCACCATAGCAAAAAGAAACGGTTGACCCTGAAACATTTAAGGAAGTATCATATGATCTAGAGGTAATGGTAATGAAGGAAGTTTGAGCTGCACTGAAGGCATTGGCCAAAAATAAGGTCCTGAGAATCAGTGGGATACCCCAGTCAACCTTGGTCATACTCACCAGCCTATGCCAGAAAATTTAGGATACAACTAACTGCCTGGACAACTGACAGGAAGAGATCTGTAATTGTTCTAATCTCTATCAAATGCGGTCCAACAGAATGTAGAAATTATCAAACAATATAATTAAATGTCACATGTAAGCAAAATATTGCTGAAGATCACCCAAAACCTGCTAGAACAGTACATTGACAGAGAACTGCCAGAAGTTTAAGCTGGGTTTAGAAGAAGCCATGGCACTAGGGCTGTCATTGCTGATATCAGATGGATTCTGGCTGAAAGCAGAGGGTACCAGAAGAATGTCTATTTTTGTTTTATTGACTAAGCAAAAGCATTTGGCTATGTGGATCATGAATGATGGGAAAAATGGGAACCCCAGAACACTTCTTTTTATTCATATGAAACCTGGGGGTCAAGAAGGTGTTGTCCAAACAGAGCAAGAGAACACTGCAAGGTTTAACATTAAGAAAGGTGTATATCATGGCTGTATCCATTTTCCCATACCTATTCAATCTGTCTTCTGAGCAAATTATTCAAGAAGTTACACTCTATGAAGAAAAATGTGGCATCAGGCTCAGAGGAGGACTCATCAGCAGTCTGCATTATGTAGATGACACAACCTTGCATGCTGAAAGTGAGAATATGAAATGTTTGCTAGATCAAAGGCTGCAACCATCAATATGGATTACGTTTCAACATTAAGAAAACAAAAACCCACATCGTGATAGATGGAGAAAAGACTGAAACTGTCAACAATTTCATCTTACTTGGATCCATAATCAACACCATTGCTACCAGCAGTCAGGAGATCAGGAGATGTATTGCATTGAGAAAGTCTGCAGTCAGGGACCTCTCCAGATTACTGAGGAGCAATTATGTCAATTTGAAGGAAAGGGGCTGCCTTATTTAGACCCTGGTCTTTCCAATCACTTGCTATGCACTTGAGAGCTGGACATGGTCAAGGGTGACAGATGCAGAATTGATGTCTTTGAGTTGTGGTGTTGAAGAAGAGTATTGAAGATCCCATGGACTGCCAAGAGAACAAACATATGTCTTGGAGGAAATGCATCCAGAATGCTCCTTGGAGGGAAGAATAAATAAACTTCATCTCACATACTTTGGGTATGTTTCTAGGAAAGGTTGATCCTTGGAAAGGAGCATCATGCTTGAAAAGGGAATGGATCCCAGTGAGATGGATTGACACAATGACTGAAGCAGTGGGCTCAAGGGTGTCAGAGATGATGAAGTTGACACAAGATACAACACAACTTTGCATCTCTCGGGCTGTGCACTTGTTAGGAGTGTATCCTCATCCTTATTCTCATCTGCCATCGACATCCTAGTTAAAGCCAGCGCTCAGGAGCCTCACCAGATGCCACCTGTCCAAAGAACTTTTCTAAATGCAACTCAGTTTTCTTTGAGCAAATAACCATCTCTCCTGAGAAGTCATTTTTTTCCCTACCCCTTGTCCAGCAACTCTGACACAGATACGTGGCAGCCAGCCCTGCCCTGCACAGTAAAACCTATGAGTTCTGCCTTTGCCTTGGCCACTAGGAAAAAAAGCCCCTGTGACCCAATTATTGAGCACTTGGCTGCTAACTGAAGGTTGAGGGTCTGAACACACCACTTGGCAGTCTGCTCCTGTCTAGATCACAGCCTAGAAAACACTTTAAGATTGTTCTACTCTGTCCCACAGTCCCTAAGAGTTGAAAATTAACATCATAACACAGAACAACTATCACTAGGTGTTGTAACCCACAAACCTGGGTCCCTGTTGGTCAGATTATGTTGTAACCCACAAAACAGAATTCCCATGCCTAGAAAAGTCCTTTGAGATAGTTCTTCCACTCAGTCACAGAGTCACTCAGTGTAAAAACTCAGCTAACCGCATCCAACAAGCACTCACAGGTGGTGTAACCCACAAAACAGGGTCCCCATTTCCTAAACACTTCTCTGTAATCCCATTAATTAGCACCCCAAAGTCACTTTGTAAACACTGGATTAATGATTGCCAAATTGAGCTGCGCACATGGAAAGCAGATTAAAAAGTCAGAGTTGCATCCTGGGTCACGTTTGTTTGCAGCCCTGAAAACACAGTCACAGAACTGCAGGAAAGAAGGTGATGGGAGGGGCTGCCGGGTCCAGGCTGGGGCCCAGAGAGCCCAGAGCTGGGGGTGGACGGACTTTTCCATCTTGGATGGTTCACGTTCAATACCAACAGGCCCTATTTTATAACTGATCTGTGGAAGAGAATTTTGGTCTCTGGATGGGCTTTGCTGCAAGGAAGCAGAAAGATTTGCACAAGGAGGTGTTTTTCTCCCTGAATTTTCTTTACATATGAAAAAGAGATTCAATTCCCTTTTCCATCTGCAATCCACTTGTCCAGCCTTTTGATCCCTTTTGATAGGCATGTTTTGATCCAGGCTCACACAAAGTTCCCTCCCTCACCTCTCCAGTTCAAGGAGAAGCAGCTGCTGCCTGATTCTCAGAAGTGGTCTATGTGCTGGTCGCAGCCTGGCCTGGGTGCCTCTGCCAGTTCTGGGATGAAGCAAAGGTCCCCCTCCTCATAACCAGTCTTGTGTCTCTCTCACTTTCATCTTGGGAGTGAGACCAGGCAGAAAATCAGAAAGCACCTGCCTCTGAAAACTGCCCTGCCATTTTTGGTGGCTTCCCAATCTCCCTCCCCTTCTCTGCCTCCCAATCTCCCTCCTTTTCTCTCTCTCCCTCAGAAGATATTCATGCGAGAGAGTGAGCCAGAAAGGATGCTGTTTCCTCCTTTTTCGTTCCTTGCCCCAGCTGGCACAGGCTTCAGCGCACTTTCTAGATTCATCCCCTTTAAAATGTAATTTTAGAAATGTCAAGTTGATTTTTTAGTTCTGTGAGAGTGAGAAAAGCATTCATCAGCATCGGGATTAGAAGCACACCAACTGAGGAGGAACTAGCACTTTTTTTGTGTTGGAGACTTTTGCCCAGGAAAACAGGATTTGCTCAGAGCTGGTAATATGGGAGCCCTGAATTGCCACTGGGCATGGAGGAAGGACACACCCATCAGGCCTTGCGCTTGAAGCTAGGGCTGGGGCAGGGCTGACGGGAGGTGCCCGAGAGGATGGTCAGCCATCTGGGTGGAAGGAGGACCTGCCAGGCATCTCCTGTTCACTACTCATGTTCAACTCTTAAGAGCCAACTGTCTGAACTGCTGGCTTCCCTCAATGAGGCCATTATGGAGACACACTTTCCCGTGACTGAGTAAATACCAGCCTCACATCTGCCCTCGTGCTCAGCTAGTATCCTCCAGAGAAGCCATGGCAGTTGTTGCATTGATTTGACTGAAACCATTTCCCAGGCCT